GAATTTGCAGAGGTGCTGACTGTTATTGGTTATATTCCAGAAGGTCCCAAAATGTTATATGGTAGACAGACGGAGAAAATTAATTTGAATTAATAAGCATAAATGCAAATTAAAATTTTACCCTTACAGACGGCAGTAATGCGAATAAACCAGCCGCAAGATCGTGGGTTCGAGTCCCACGGCCAGTACACTTTTTTTTATTTCTTTTTCATTCTTTTTTTATAAGTTGTATATTTTTTTTACGTTACTTTCAGTTAGTTGTTGTTGAATTTTTAACAAAATTCATCTCTAAAAATTAAAATTAACTAATAGTAAAAGAAGAAATGTGATATCAAATAAAGCAAATGAAAATAAAATAAAGTAAAATTAAATATATAAATAAAATAAAATAAAAAAATATAAAACAAATAATAAAAACAAAAAATTTTTCGCAATCGCTCCAACCGAGTATCGAACCTGGCAGCTACAGGCTTGTAGCTCGCAACTCTCACCACTCGGCTACCGCGTACGCGAAACTCGACTGCTTCGTTTGCTTACTTGTACAAAAGACAACAACTGGCCGTTTTTACCAGTGTTGTCATCGAAAATTCCCCGGATCCGAGTTAATTCCNAATTTTTGCAATAAGCTTATCAACCGTTATGTTAAATTACGGAGTTCTTACGATTTTCGCGGGTTATATATTGAAAATAAGGTCGGCCTACTTTGTTCCAAAAGTTTAACCCATCAACTCCCAGCAGAACGGGCCTTTTTGACCCACTGTTTGAAAAATGGCTTATAAATAGTTAAAATTTCCACTAATATATTAAGCGCCAAATTTTTCTAAGCAGAACAGAATGTAATGCAAAATAACAGTAATTTTTACCAAAAAGGGGGACTTTAACTCTGTGTAGAAAATATTGCGATGCCCGGTAGCAAAACCTTCCTGAGGTTTGTCCGCTACTTAGGAATACTAACGTAATTTTCACACAGCCTCCTAGTTCTTGTATACGTCTGTTGGACCCCAGAATAAAGTAACTTACGAATGCAAAAATTAGCATAAAAAGTGTTTGCTTTTTATTAAAATTCTGATTAAAATATTTAAAAAAACACACAGGAAAATCAACTAGTCTTTGTTTTATCTACAATAATTGAGGAGTTAGATGCAATAAGGGCGCTTCTGTTAAAACTGCTTTCTGAGATATTGGCGTTAAAGTTTTTGATGTGTATAACTTTCTTGTTGATGTAGTTTATAAAAAAGTAGTATTGTTGTAGTATTGAAAAAAATTTTCTACTGCGGAAGAAATCGTCAGATTACCAGTATTCGACCCTAATTTAACTGTAATAAACGCTTTCGATCGAAAAACGTGTTACCTATGTTTTTTTGTGAGTTACGCTTTTTTTGAAATGTTCAGTGGCCCAAACTATACAAAAAAAACTTCTTTTAAAAATGTAATTTTCATTTCGTAAAACAGTGTTTTTATACGAGTAGTATTTAGTTCCTTCAAACGATGTATTTCAATGTGCATACAACATGAAAATTTTGTACAAAATACCTTAGGCGCCGAACGCCGCATGAATAAAAATAGTTTCTTTATGATTTCTTTTGAAAAAATCCCCTCAAATGACAAAACGGCTTAAGCTTAAAATATTTGCATAAAAATATTTAAAAAAAAAATTTTTTTAAATGTTTACGGAATCGTAATGATGACTGAATAACTGAACCTAAACTCTTCCGATTTAGACTTAAGAGGTGTCATTGGAAAAGTATTTTCTCACCCTTTTCATTTATTTGCTAATAAACTTATTCAAAGGATGGAAGAGAAAGGTAGGAGAAACGAACCTCATTCAAAGTTGAATTAAGATCTTTGGTATTCGAAAAAAAAGATGGGACACGAATGACGATTTTTTTAGCCAGAAATAAAAACGGTTGAAAATACCTTTCTACTGAGATCCCATAATCTAGAATATTTTTGGTCCAGTTATTCATGTTTTTCGTAAATCAATCTTTGAAAAAAGTAAAAAAACAGCATCAAAAATCTCATTCTTACGATTCCATTGAAAAGATTTTTAAATATTTTTATGCAGATTTTTTAAGCTTATTCCAATTTGTCTTCTGAGGGGACTTTTTAAAAAATGTCTTTAAGAAACTATTTTTATTCATAAAAAACTTCATTTTTGGAGGTATTTTCAAATCGGTCCAGCTCACTTAGATCTTAATATTTTTACGAAATATTTTGGTGGACGTCTTAAAATATAATAAATTTAGTAATCCCGGCGGAAAAACCGCAACTTTTTTTGGTGATGCAGTCTAATGTACATACATACTTACATAGTCCTTATCTCCTATGCTGCAATGTTCTAATACTAAGAAAAAAAATTTCGCCTTGGGTTATCATTACAGAATTGTTCATACGCATAAATTATGTGAAAGTAAGACGTTGTGAGAGTAGCTTTAATCTATGTATGTATATGGATGCTTGAATCTAGTTCATCATCATTTCGAAATACGGACAATACATAATTAGATTAGGTTAGGTTACAGTGGCTACTGGTAGACAGACATAGGCCCATCATTGGGCCCGTTTTGGTACCACAAGGAATCTCGTTTAACCAGCAATGGAAAATTTTAGCAATTGCCTTATCTTTATGCCCACTTTATAGCTCACGTCTCCAATGGTTCCGGCGTCCATGAACCTTAGTCTGCTCCTTCCCAGTGCGGGACATTCACAGGGTAGTTAAATTGTAAAACCTTCGTGTGCCTAGGGAGATGTGAGGTGTTCGTTAGGTATGTTGCCTGGCCGCCACGTGCTCTGCTTGCTGTTGAAAAGGCTGTTGCCCTGTCGTTGTAGTGGGGGGGTCGCAGTTGGTATTTGTGACCGAGCACACAGCATGGGCCCTCATAGTCAGTGTTGCCAGAACTTTTTGGGCCGACCGGCTAGATTGGTAAAAAAAAGCGGCTAAAAACGGCTAAAACGTTTTAGTGAAATTTCACATAGACTCTGGCAAAAAACGGCTAAAATGTTTTAGTGAAAATTCACATGCTTTATTTAAATAAATCGCAAGAAACGAAAGACTAGTTAACGCCATTAATTTATATCGAGTATATATTCCTCATCATCAAATGAATCACTATTGTATATATCACCTGAATTCATTAATTTTAAGAGATCGTCATCTACAGTAAAATTATGGCAGCATTTTTCTTCACGTTTTAAACCGTATCTTATATATAAAATAGCGTTTAACGTTTTAACGCACATTGGATTTCTTTGCTTAGTTTTTATTATATTCATTGAACTAAATATTCGCTCTACTTCTGCATTACTTATAGGCAAAACAAGAAAACTAAAAACTAGGTTGCAAAGGTCAGCAAAAGGGTTTTCTCCTAGGGCATTTCGAAATTGATAAACTTCGGCCCAAAATTTTACAGTTGAGTCTAAATTACTCCAGGTATGTAACGTTAACCGTTGCCATTGCATCTCTATAGATGTTATTTCGTCGGCATTATATTTGTGTTTTTGTTGCTGTAGTTGAACAAATACTTTTGGTTTAATTACTCTTAATGCATTTCCAACCGAAAAAAGTCATTTTTTTTTAGTGTGCCAATATTTGTAGGGAGGCGTTGGCGTAATTCCTTTATTAAAGTGATAATAAAATAGCGACCATTTTCTCGAATTATTTACTCGGCTTCGTGGTCAAAAGCGTTTGTGCTTACTTTTGTTTTTAAATACTCTTCAAAAC